TTTCTCAACAGTAGTCTACATCTAAATTCATTTTTGTCCTACTTTGTAGTAATCCAGACGGTAAATAAAAATAGAAACCGAAATTAATCTGTAAATATTTCTCATTAGATTTACTTAAAATTAATACCTGTTACTGTTGACTTTAAGTATTTTTTAATTATCTTTGGTTTTGATTATTATTATTCTACAATGATTCATGTAACGAAATTTCACTACAATAAATTCTTGTTAAAAATGGTACTTTAATAATCTATTTTTAAGCATATCAAGTTATGAAATCTTCAAAAAGAATGTAAAAAAAGGAAATAACTTTAAGCCACAGTGATATTTGTTCTCAATTAATTTTTGGACTTAAGGTAGAAAGTAATTTTCTTTCTCAGCTCGCATCCTGGTTTTTGTTTTACTTATACTTTTTTCGTTGATTTTAATTTAAGATGCTTGTAAAAAGCCAACCTGGCCACAGTGTCTTTTTGAGAAATAAATAAATAAAATAAATTGCATTCTTGACTATTCTCAACAATCTTGAGAACATCAAAAAATTCACAAATACAAACTACAGTGGAACGTTGGTATATAACCTTAATCTGTTCCTGGTGTTTGGACTTATACCGAATAGGATGTATATCAAACCAACCTTTCCCATAAGAAGTAATGTAAAAATGATTAATCCATTCTCATGTAAAAAAAATGGCTGGCTTTAAACACCTCGCTTTCCTGGCTAGTTCCTGCTTGATTTTTCATGAGATCAACATGTATCTTTTTAGCTTTCTCACAAATAATTGTTTCTGATACACTCTCTAGCACACTGTTTTTCAGTTATCCAAAGCAAAAGCAATTTCTCAACATGATCTAATGTCTTCAATCTCTGTTTAGAAATTGATTTAACCCCTTTTGCAACATTAGCAAATTTAATAATGTCTTAATTTTTCATGATTGTCAATATCGTCATTCTCAGAATACGGTATGCAACAGTTAAATCTCGAACACGCATGCCACCTTCATATTTTTCAACGATCTCTTTTTTCAGTTCCATTGTGATTTTAATCATTTTTTTATTTTTCTGTTGCCTTTTTGCAATTCATGATTAATAAAAATAATAACATTTTACTTACAAATTAAAATAAAAAGAAATTTAACAAAGTTATAAACTG